ATCATGACTCTGCTGCTCAACCTGTTGCTTACCTACTCTGTGCCTCAGTTTTGTCATCTGTAAATTAAGATAATTAAATATACATGCATACGTACACAGGTGGGCATGGGTATATGTAGCTTAACAAAATGTCTGCCTTATCGTAAGTTATCTGTGTGCCTATTACCATTAATCATACTTTTTAAAAAACTACAGACACACTAAGGTTAAGTGGAAAAATGCTTACTATGTGCAACTCTTGCAAACATTTCACATATATTACTTTCACTCACAATAACTCCATAGATATTATTATCCTCTTTTTATGAATGGAACCTAAGGCACAGAGAGGTTAAATAAATTGTTCAAGGAACTTACCTACATCAGAAAACGGCCAAGTTGGGATTTGAAGTCAGTCTCCAGAGCCTGCGGTTACAACCACTGTGCTCTGCATGAAGTTGTTCTTCACAGAAAGTATAATCCAGTGGCTCTACCAGGCCGGCAGGAGTAGTGTAGCAGCTGCCCCAGCAACAGCAGTCACAGCAAGAATCCTTGCTGAGCCATGCCCACTACTCCCTGTGTCTTATAGGAGATGAGATCCTACGATCCTACAGATGAGGAAGCTGAGGGACACAGTGGCTGAGGCACCTGTCGCAGGACTGACCCAATCTTTGAGCCAAAACTTGCCTGATTCCAACATACTTGGCCTTAAAACCATTCGCATGCCTCTCTCCTGATTTCTATGTCCTGGACCAGGTGGCCAGAGTGTGTCAGGCAGGACAGCAATATAGCTTCAGTGGACTTGGAAGCTTTCTTCTTTCCTTCCACTCTTGGGTGTTTTCACTTGATTCTACCCAATTTTTTTTTTAAGTCCCAAAGAAGGTTAAAATACAAATTCTCCTGGGACATACCACAGAAACTGTAATAAAGGCTTGTTTTGTTTTGTTTTCATTGAATGTGAGTCAGTATAATGTTCCTCAATATGAATGAGTGTAGGGGTTGTCTTTTTTTTTTAATTTTTATTTATTTATGATAGGCACACAGTGAGAGAGAGAGAGAGGCAGAGACACAGGCAGAGGGAGAAGCAGGCTCCATGCACCGGGAGCCCGACGTGGGATTCGATCCCGGGTCTCCAGGATCGCACCCTGGGCCAAAGGCAGGCGCCAAACCACTGCGCCACCCAGGGATCCCTGTAGGGGTTGTCTTAAATCAAATATTGATTAAGCCAAGACCACAGTTTTGGATCTGCTGTGGGTTGTAGGCAAGAAACCAGGAATAAGGAGAAGTGTAGTGTTTTCTAGAAGAAGGTGAGAGCCCTGGGCCTCCATAGGAGGGAGGAGGCACCCATGTAGATCATCTGTGCCACAGCTCTGCCTTCTGCCTGTTTCTGGAAGAGGCACACTGACCTAAATGGGGTGGCAATGAGAAGTTTGTATCCTGAAGCCCCTGGGAGCCCAGACAGGACACCTCCCACTGACACAGGACACAGGAGACCAAAGAGCAACATTCTTGAATATAATACCCCGTAGGCCACAAACATGACACCTAAGGGGAGGTGCCACTTTGTCTAAGAAGAAATGTGCATCTTTTGATCACAAAAGAGTATGGATTTTACCCTCTTCACTCCCTTATTAGTGAAGGTACCTGACAGTTTAATATTGTGTTTTTAACATTTTTAGGTTTTGGCAATGTTCCTCTTCAATAATTCCCCAATAATTTTGAAATAGTCCTCTGTTTTCCTTTTCCCTGTAGTCATGTGTTGCTTGAATTCTTAAAGCTGTGATGGGAATACATAGTTTTGTATTATCTTTAAAATACAAACAGGCACTGGGCACCCCTGGTGGCTCAGCGGTTTGCCACCGCCTTTAGTCCAGGGCCTGATCCTGGAGACCCGGGATCGAGTCCCACGTCAGCCTCCCTGCATGGAGCCTGCTTCTCCCTCTGCCTGTGTCTCTGCCTTTCTCTCTCTGCATCTCTCATGAATAAGTTAATAAAATCTTAAAAAAAAAAAAAGATACAAACAGGCACTGACACACATGTATACATATATTTGTTTTCTCTTAAACCTTTCATGAAGGGAAAAATATGCACTATTCAAGATTAGACTCTTCAGGCATTTTCATTTGAGCTGAATGTATTAAACTGAGCTGTTTCATAGGTGATATCTGTCCCCTTTCTTTAATGGAGTGACGCATCCCCATAGAACTGCTACATTGCACCGGTGGCAGACATGAATATTTGGGTTATTAAGAGACATGAAAAACGAGCCCAGATCAAAATCTTTGGGAGCAGTCCATAAAAATAAAAGTAAAGCAAACATTTACATTTTGTTTAAAGTTAGTTGTGAGGGATAAGCCTTTCCACCAGCTTTTTTTTTTTCTTTTAATGTGGACATATGGATATAGATGGTTTTATCAAAATTAAGTCATTGGTAACTTCTTCTGAAGACTTGTCTATTTTATTTTCTTTCTGAGGAATGAAGACAGGCCTTTCAGGGTGAGGCCCTTTGGACTGGCAGGCTGCTGTGTGGGATTTGGCTGTGAAGTACTTGGGCTTTCTCAAAAGGAATACTAATATATCTCTTTTGGCCGTGGTTTTAAAAACATAGGACTTTATAAGTATTGTGAAATTTCATTGTGTTTTTTTGCATCATAGTCAAAGGCACTGTAGTTTTTCAAGGAACGTGATACAAGATTATAAGATCCTTGAGGAAAAGAACAAGTCTTATTTATCTTTCCTCTCTGTATTGGAAACACACCCTGTATATAGTTGATACTCATTATTTACTGAGGTGAATTCAATCTAAAATGCTTTCTCTCAGACCCGTACTCTCCTCCCCTCTGGTAACCACCAGGTGGTTCTCTGTATTTAAGAGTCTGTTTTTTGTTTGTCTCTATTTTCCTTTGTTCGTTTGTTTTGTTACTTAAATTCCACATAAGAGTGAAATCATATGGTATTTGTCTTTCACTGACTAACTTATTTCCCTGAGCATGATATGGTATAGCTCCATCCATGTCATTGCAAATGGCAGGATTTCATTCTTTTTTATGGCTGAGTGATATCCTGTTGTATATATTTACCACCTCTACTTTATCTATTCATGTCTCATTGGACGCTTGGGCTGCTTCCATATTTTGGCTATTGTAAATAATGCTGTTAGTAAACATAGGGGTGCAGGTATCTTTTTTAAAAAAAAAATTATTTATTCATTTGAGACTTATCCAGAGAGAACAAGTAGGGGGAGCAGCAGAGAGAGGAGTAGCAGGCTCCTTGCTGAGCCAGGAGCCCAATGTGGGGCTCAATTCTAGGACCCCGGAGATCATGACCTGAGCCGAAGGCAGATGCTTAACCATCTGAGACACCCAGCTACCCCGCATGTATCTTTTTGAATTAATGTTTTTGTATTTTTGGGGTAAATACCCAGTAGTGGAATGTGGTAATTCTACTTTTAATTTTTTGAGGATCCTCTATCCTGTTTTCCACAGTGGCTACACCAGTTTGCATTCCCACTAACAGTGCATGAAGTTTCCTTTTTTTCCCCGCATCTTCACCAACACCTGCCGTTTCTTGTGTTACTGATTTTAGCCATTCTGACAGGTGTGAGGTGATATCTCATTGTGGTTTTGATTTGCATTTCTCTGTGATTGTCTGTTGGCCATCTATATATATATATATATTTTTAATTTTTTTATTTATTTATGATAGTCACACACACAGAGAGAGAGAGAGAGAGAGAGAGGCAGAGACACAGGCAGAGGGAGATGCAGGCTCCATGCACCGGGAGCCCGACGTGGGATTCGATCCTGGGTCTCCAGGATCGCGCCCCGGGCCAAAGGCAGGCGCCAAACCGCTGCGCCACCCAGGGATCCCTATATATATTTTTTTTTTTGAAAAATGTTCATTATGGTCCTCTGTTTTTTAATCAAATTAGTTTTTGGTGTTGTGTAAGTTCTTTATATATTTTGGATATTAATCCCATCTCAGATAAATAATTTGCAAATATCTTCTTCCATTCAGTAGGTTGTCTTTGTTTTGTTGATTTTTATCTTTGCTGTGTATCCTGTGAACTTTTAGTATCCTTTCAAATTTGGTGAAGGCACCTTGTTGAATCACTTCAGGACACACTTAAGATGGGCAAAGTAAGGAAGAATTGACCTTCTCTTTTGTTGGCCTTATTATTTCTCATTTCAGTGAGTACTAGTTGAGAATATTTCTTTTTCTTACCTTTCTCTCCCCTTTAATGAACTAACTGAATCACCAACTATTTATTAAGCATATGTTTTATGCAAATAATTGGGCTAAGGGACTACAAAGGAAAATAAAACCTAATACCTGTTTCTAAAAGGAGGTAGGTCAATAAATTAATTATTGCAAGTGACCTGAGAAGAAGAATTTATCTATATGCCACTGACTTTTCTTTTATTATCTTCTCTTTGCCATACCCTTTATCCTTACTCCCTTTGAGAAGTAGAATACTTATAGGGCATGTGGGGAGAGGGGACATATCCAGACCTACCATGCTGTGACCAGACTTTTTCTAGCCAGTGAGCTGTGCTTCATGTGGCATTAACTAGTAGAGTTTCCTAGTGAGTGAATGTGCTGCAGGGTCTCTGTGCAGGTGATCTGAAGTTCATTGGTTGATTACAGGGCTGTAACTAACCATAACATAAAATGGACAGTGGTAAAACGGGACAAGCAGGACCAAATCAATCTCTGGTGTGTTCAGGGGCCAGAGAGAACAAGTGTGTGTGTGTGTGTGTGTGTGTGTGTGTGTGTGTGTGTATTCGTGCATGTGGGGGGGGGCAGAGAGAGAGAGAGAGGAGGAAGAAGGAGGTAGAAAGGGAAAGACTTCCTGGAGGAAATAGACTTGGACTGTGTGACAGGATTAGGACCTGCAGATCCATATCTCTTGTGTCACCTAGGCACATATGGATACTGCGTATTTCTGTATTTGGTGCTCAGTGAATATTCATCTCATATGTATGAATCCTGTGTTGTAGTAGGTTTTTTTATTTTTTCTTAAATTTCCTTTTGTTTTCTAACTTTCATGTGCCATCCTTTCGTGAGGGCCATGCTAATCTTCTCTCTATTGTTCCGTTTTAGCGTGTGTGCTGCCAAGGCGAGCATTGTTTTCTAACTTCTAATGTGATTGTCAGTATGACTGTCTATTCGGCTTTGTGAGGACAGAGTCCACATCCTGTGTGGGCTGTTCTTCTTCACGGTGGGGGGCTTGCCAACTGCTTCGCATGCTCTAAAGGATTTAGTTGGAGTATTTTCACTGGGAGAGTGAAGTTTTAGATCTATCTGGAAATTGCTGATTATTGTCCTATTTTATTTATAAGGCTATCATCTCAGAATCCATTTTTCCTTTTCCTCTTTCATCTCAAAACTTTTTCTCATTTTCTACCAAACAGCGGTTCCGTAGAGTGGTACCTGTGTGTATACTCAAGGCTCTCACATGAAAGGACAATGCTCTTTTTGCCAGGATAAGTGCAGAAGGAATAAAATATATGAATCCATAACCTAAATAAGGAATGACAACACATCAAAATATGTGATGTTTTTATAGCTATTCTAGCTCTGTATTCAGTCTGACAATAGTAAACCGAATATTTATTGTTGTTATCACTTAGCAGTATTTTAGGTTTTCTCTTCTTTCCCTCCACTTAACATGATTAGCTGCAAACTAGTATAACTATTGCTTTTTTTTTCAATCTGAAAATTTGCCATGTCTTCATAGTCTGTCCAATTCAATTAAACAGTTACAAGTTGATGGCCAAGGATGTGCAGAGCACTACACTGGAAGCTTGCAGAATCCGTGAAGGTGAGGAGTGGAGAGTCCCTGCCTTCTCAGGACTCAACGACCCAGCGGGGAGGACATGTCCATAAATCATTCTGTTATCAGGCTGGACAGAATGCTACAACTGAAGAACAGCACAGCTCTGTGGGAGTTGAGGGAATACTCGGATAATCTACACAGAAGTTTCACCAAGTTCAAGAATTTCTTTGGTTAGCGAAGCTTTTCCACAGTGCCCAAAATACCCACTGTGCGCAGTGCCAGGCACGGACTGTAGCGCCTCCCTAGACTGTGGGGAAAAATAGTGCACATGGGCAGTCAAAAAATCTAAAACTCATGAAAAGGATATGCAGTGGAAAGGGTGTCTGTCTTTTAACACAGTCCATCACTTTTCCTCTCTGGAGACACCCACTTTTCATAATTTCCTGTGTGTGGTTAACTGTTAAAGATTTGTTGCTGACAGATTTTTTTGCAATCTCATTGACTTCAATCCAGTGTCAAAAACAGTCCACAAATGTGACAGATGCTGTGTTAAGTACCAAGACTAGGATTCTGGTCTCCTAGAGTGCACTGTCTGGTACACATAAAGATAGAAGTTGGACTGTAACATGTTCAGCGATATGATGGAGATAAGGGGCAAGTGTTCTGGTAACTTAGGGAGGGGATAAATGACTTACCGCCTGAGAGTGGTGCTGGGGCAGCTTCACAGAGATCATGATCCTCCAGCTGGCACTTGGGGCTGCAGATCTCCCTGGACTGAGAGATAGGCAAGTACATTCCTGGCCAGTAGAACCATATACTCAAAGAGAAGGCTGAAGATACAGGTTGAGTATATCAGTAGGGTTAGGATGTAGGATACGTTATGGTAGAGATATGTGGAGGTTGAGACCAAACTATTAGGGGCACCGAATTTCTCATCCTGCAGACTTTGGGTATCATCCCATGCAAGGGCAAAGGGAAGCAGTTGAAGGAGTACAATCATAGTAGGGATATGATGCTTATCTATCTTTCAAAAAGATAATTTTGGTGGTCCTCTGAAGGACGGAACGGACAGGGAAGGAGATAGAAGTGTGGGGATCGGTTGGGTTATAACTCCGGCTGTAACCTGGCCAGGATGAAATGAGAAGGCTGCAGTGCAGTGGGAATGGTGAGAAACAGACCTGAGCGATCTCACAGAAGGACAAATGGCAGGCTCTGATGATGACCGGCATGGAGCAAGCATGCTCCCAGCATGGACTTGTGCACCTGCCAAGGGGCACTCATAGATGAGTTTGACACAGCCGTTGTCCTGAAGGAGCCAGCAGTCTAGTGAGAAACAGCATTCTCAGGATGCAGAGTAAGAAATGAGAAGAAAAGGCAACCCTGAGAAAACATCAGCTCTTAAATGGCAGGCATATCAAAAGCCCTCAGTGATAGAGAAAAAGTAATTGATGATGTGGTTTGGAATAGCATAGTGGGGGGACTCTGAGTGAGGAGGAAGTACTCCTAAGTGTCTGACCACAGCAACTGAGAAGTCAAGTGGAGTGGAGGCTGAGAGAAAGAGAGCTCTGGCAGTGAGAAAGTCCGTGTTGACTCCTGAGGGCAGATAGGACTGACGTGATGAGGAAGGAGAGGTTGGAGGGAGAAGCGGTGATCAGACCAGATCCATTGGCTCTAGTGTGGCATCACGGGAAGAAGTAGGGCTGGGCATTCCCTCCCTCCTTCTCCCACCAGAATGCTCCTCAGGGCACTCTGCGCCCCATGGTTGGTAGATAAGAGGCCAAATGTGGGAGCAGGAGGGAAGGATGGCAGTCAGGGAAGATGGTGATGGAGGCAGGGGGAGGGAGAAGGTTCTCCAGAGCCACCACAGGGTGTCCGTTCCCAGCCCAACCTGGGCTGTGTCTGTCCACTGCCTTCGCAGGCAAGCTGTTTTCTTGGTGCTGTGGAGTGTCTAATTTTATGTATAAACCCAAATGAGCTCATTTTCTCTGGGCTTTTTAATTCCCTCAGGTAAGTTTCGCATCCCTTTGCTTGTAAAACTCGACAGTCACTTTTCCTTGCAGACGCAACCAACCCTGCCTGCATCTTCCTGACCCGCGCCAATGGGGATGCAAAAGGCATCTTTGCAGAGAGTGCGCTGTTGGATAGCATAGAAGATTCCTGTGTGTCGGCTGAGATGTACAGAGTAATGGCCAAAGTCCCGACGTGCTGTTCTGGAAATGGCATCCATCTACACAAGGGGGAAGCCGGGGAGTCTGTTAGGTCACCAGAGCCCGGAGCTTGAAAAGCAGCTTTAGTGTACAGCATGCTTCTGTTGTTTATAACTTTCTGTAATGTGTGATAACAAAGAGCAGTGTGTGGTAACAAAGAACACTCTGTTACCACGAGTTATTTTAACCACCAGCTTTCGGCTGCTCAGCCTTTTTTCCCCCTTCTTCCTCACAGCTCTGTTTCTGGCTCCATGTCTTTGTCACCCACTTCCACCTCCGCCCCAGCTGCTCCTCCTCGCCTCCTCGTGTGAAGTCCTTCCCCGTGGCTGTTTCTCCTCCACCACTGAGAACCTGCTGGAGGCTTCTGGCTTTTATAGCGCTAGCAGTTTGCCACTCTTTTCCCTCTTTGTGCACGTACGTTTCTCCCGAGGGTTCTTCACGGTCAGAGAACCCTGAGATGGAGTGCATTCCAGGGGCTCTTCTCTGTTTGAGGAAAGTCTTAGAATAGAGGGAGAGAAGGTGTGCATGTGTGTGTGTGTGTGTGTGTGTGTGTATACACATATGTCAGACAGAGAGAGATAGAGAGAGAGAGAGAGAGAGAGAGAAGGATAGATCAGAGGTGTGGGCGGTTTCATAGTCATTTTCTCTCTCCCAGAAGACTCCTTGCAGGGTTTTTAATGCTACTAAGCCAAAAACACAGAATAGTCATTATTAAACTGGGACTGGAAAAGTTTGTCTTGTGTTGAAAGACCTGACCTCAGACTTTGAATAGCCACCCGGCCCCGAGGGGCTCCACCTTGACCTCATGGAGAAAGGTGGGAGATCAGATGTGACCATGGTGTAAATGGTGTGAACCCAGAATGGTGCAACAGAGGTAGTGTCTTTCTCTAGAGGTAATTTCTACACATATTGTCTCTTATTCTGGCGTGGAGTAGCATGTGATACCAGAAGTTGTTGATGTAGGCAAATGATACAGGAGACAGGGTCTATAGTAAGCTCTACTAATCATCTTGCCCAAATTTCAAAGCTGAGAGTGAATTTACAGCTCTCCCTACACTTCCGGCAGTGGATTTTTGTTTGTTTGGCTCAATTTGTAGAACACATTGAAAATTTTGCTCAAATCCTTTTACTCTTGAACCTTGTTGTACATGTCTTCAATGGTATAAATCATACCATACCAAGAAAGAGTTTTTCAAAAATCTGAAGATTACAATTAAAACATCCCTGTGGATTGGCTCTTTGGCTTTTGAAAAGCCAATCAACATCTCCATTGCTCATTTTCTTTACCTGTAAATGGGGAGTTGAGGAACTCTGATGTCTTATCCATTCCAAATATTCATTAGTAATAGGACAGAATCAGAGCTGGAAACTAGATTTCATTTAGCGTTTCAATTCCACGTGTTTGGTAGCTGGTGCCGAGAGGGCTGTGGTAAAGATGGTAGACTGTGGGGCTCCGTTGGAAAGAGTTGGGTATTCATTAGTGAGGTCTGCCTTGTGTGCAATAATTAGAGGTGGTGGCATGTGGTGTTTGTTTTGTTGTTTTGTTTTTGCCATTCCTTCTCTAACCCTACTAGGAGGGACCAGGGCAGTTGTGTTTTCATTTTGTGTGCACACACACATACCCACACACACACACACGACCGTCATTTGAACCAAATTGTTGATAAAACCATCAACATGTGTTCTATTCCTTCTCCAGATCATTTAGCTTCAGCTAAATCAGATTTCTGTTCCCTGCTTCATGTCTTAAAACCAAAGGGAATAGAGAAAAGGGTTGTGTGGATGGCCCATTTTAAACACCATCACCACTTCAAGGGTGCCTGGGTAGCTCAGTTGGTTTGAGCATATGACTCTTGATCTCAGCTCAAGTCTTGATCCTCAGTATCATGAGTTCAGGCCCTGCATTGGGCTCCACATGGAGCTCCATGCCTATTTAAAAAAAAAAAGGGGGGGGGATCCCTGGGTGGTTCAGTGCTTTAGCGCCTGTCTTCGGCCCAGGGTGTGATCCTGGAGTCCTGGGATCGAGTTCCACATCAGGCTCCCTGCATGGAGCCTGCTTCTCCCTCTGCCTGTGTCTCTGCCTCTCTCTCTCTGTCTCTGTCTCTCTCTCTTTCATAAATAAATAAAAATAAAATCATAAA